ACACGAATTTAAGGATTTGGAATTTGTAGCCATTGAAAAAGTTGACTTAGTGAATGGCGAAAATGCCAATAATCCTTTATTGACCAGAGAAGCATATTGGATGGCACAGCTGTGTACAATTAGCCCTTATGGCCTCAATAACAAATAACAAATTCTACGGTCATTTCAAGCAGCTCGTTACCAAGTTACAACATGGGTTTTTACGAGGTCGCTCGTGTGTCACACAGCTTCTTTCAGTTCTCCACTCAATCGGACAATGCCTTGATAAAAACATCCAAACAGATGTTCTTTACCTTGATCTCGCCAAAGCGTTTGACTCTGTCGATCACCAAATTCGTCTTGAAAACCTGAAATCCTATGGTGTTACGGGTCAACTACATAACTAGTTTGCTGACTACTTAAAAGACCGTTCTCAAAGAGTAGTAGTGGATGGTGTGGCATCTCAATGGGCACCCGTTACATCCGGAGTGCCACAAGGTAGTATTTTAGGACCAATGCTCTTTGTGGTGTTCATTAATGATCTTCCTGATTCTATACCAGACAAAACAACTGCTGCTTTATACGCAGATGATACTAAGTTGTACAGAAGCATCGTATCAGTAGCTGACTGCGAAGATCAACAGCAGGCTCTGAATAACCTTGATACATGGAGCAGTGTCAATAACCTTAAATTTAATGCATCTAAATGCAAGGTGTTGACCGTGACAAGAAAGAGAAGTCCAATATTACACACTTACCAACTCGGTTCTAAGGAACTGCTTCGTGTGGGGCAAGAAAAAGATCTCGGTGTTACTTTAACTAGTAACCTCTCTTGGGACACCCATATTAACGTTATCGTCGCCAAATCCAACAAGCTGCTGGGTTTATTAAAGAGAACTTGTCCCTTGTTGACGGACGTTAAAGTTAGACGTACGCTGTATCTGTCACTCGTTAAATCACAAGTCAGCTACGCCACAGAAGTTTGGTCTCCAGTCAACATACATCTCAAATCAAAGGTTGAGAAAATTCAAAGAAGAGCTACCGCTTGGATTCTGAAATCCAAACAAGGCGAGATACCTTACCAACAGAGGCTGATAGCTCTTAACCTATTGCCACTATGTTACGACAGGGAAATTAAGGACTTGGTATTTTTCTACAAGGCGCTATTTGAACACTTAGATTTGAACGTTTATGATTTTGTTTCTTTTGTTAATAGTGATCGCACCCGACTTAGTCAAAATCCATCTCTAACTCTTAAAGTTCCTTTTTGTAAAACCAGAACATTCCAAGCGTCCTACTTTAATCGAATAGTTAAACTATGGAACACAACCTGTAAAATACTTCCCCCATCTAGTTTCTCGAGTCTTTCAACTTTCAAATGTTCAATTAAACTCATGTATCATAATTTAAATACTCAAATTTTTGATGTTGATCAACCGTGTACATGGACCCTCGTACGTGCTTGCTCCTGCCATAGGACATAAACTTTTCTTAGGGGAAGTGCCCCGCATGGGACTTGGAGTCCCGTTCGCACTTTTCCCAATTGGGTTCTTTTATTGTTGTTATTTTAAATTAGTGTATCTTTGCCCAATTAGTTGTTTGTATAATTATTGTAAATATAGTTGTTAATGACCCAATAAAGTTCTTTAAAAAAAAAAAAAAAAAAAATTTAGTTCAGTCCAGTTCTTTTTGCGAGAGGGGAAAATTTTGAAAGTGAACCTATTCCCATGCATACCTTAATTAATATATCACGGAGAATCGGTTAATTTAATTGTATTTTTGACTATTTCTTTTCAAACAGAAACTGATCAACAGCTTTTACAGTACAGAATTTAAATTCTCTTCAGTGAAACCTAGAGGTATTTATAAAAAAAAATTAAATTGCCATACGGGCGCCTGAAGTTTGGTAAAATAAACAGAAATTAAAAAACTATATGTAGAAAAGTATATTTCTTACCACAGTTCTTGCTCTTTTTAGTGCCTCACCGGTGTACGTACCGCCGTTAAGATATGGCATATTTGACACAACACCATTCAAGTCATCAATATTGCCATTTATATTTCCTTCGCCGAGCTGAACGGCGTACACATAATGGTCGGAGTATGAATATTCTTGAATAGCAACACGAACGTCGTTAGTTCCAATGGTAAACCTTTCATTTAATTCTTGAATAAAATCTTTCATGTTTTCGAAATTTTTCTTTCCGACACTACCAGAACCATCCATCACGTAAATCATATCGATTTCGGGGTGTACGCAGACTACGTCTGTAAAAGAAACATCGAATTTTAGTAGACATGGTTAGTACGCAGTAAACACGAAGCTCTACGAAGATGAGCTGTGACTGGTTGATTATGACAATGACAAAAGACGTAATTGGCTTACATAAACAACAGGAATATTGTTCTTGCTTCGTTCTAAAGAAAATCCATTCTATAGCTTATTATTTTGTCATTGTCATAATCAACCAGTCACAGAACATCTTCCTACAGCTTCGTGCCGACCCAATGCGATAGCCAACAGAATCTTACTATTTTGCGTTTAGCCAAGTTTTGAACATACTGTAGATCATATAGTGAGAGCCAATAGGAAACAGTGATTTTGCGTGTCTTTTGTCCCGTTAATGATATTGATGCTTTACGTCCTTAGATGCAGGTCAACTAATTGAAGCTACTGTATCAATGTATTGGTGCATTCAAAGTTGGATCTCGACTTAATACAGCTTCCTTGATCCGTCGACTTGCACGAGTCAGCACATGACACCTCATAGAATAGACACTTATTACACTGGCCGCAGCCAGTGTCATAATTTGCTCTTGCTGAAAATGCAAGGAATTTTTCGGGGGGTTTTTGGTTGTCGCAAGTGTGACTTTCCATTGCGGCATCGTGGGCTCAGGATTGCGCAATTTAATTAAAACATGCTCACGACTATTATTAGGACCAATTCTACACAATGTTAATCAGAACGACTTTCGTGTTTAACTAGGTTACAAATCTTAGACGCTGTAATTGTGGGACGTATTTATTATATTTCATTGCGCATGCTGCTTGAATTTTTCTGCGTTTTTCGATATATCGCTGAACTCTATTGGTTTTGTATGGATTTTTATTGTGCCGTCCTCCGTGAATGTTTGTGATCATGAAGTGACGGCGGTGAAGAAGTGAAGAACATCTACATGTTTCAAGTTATTTTTTAAGTATTGCGATGATATTTTACCAACCGCGAGGCCAGTGTGAACGCCTGAGCAGGCGTCTTGTTAATATTTCAATCTTTCATGTTTAAATTTAAATAATTTTACTAAATAATTACACGTGCTTTTATCTCTGTCTGCATCCTTTAACCTCTGTGTAGGTATGTAAGAACGTCATGTAGTTGATTAGTTTTGTGAAAATTTTTTTTTTTCAGTTGTAAATACTTGTTTTTAACGACTCGGCATGGATCGGCGACTAATTTTAAATCGCATGCGCGTAAACAATCAGCTCTTGTTTTGACATTAGCTGTACAAATACGTCCAAACGTAAGGTCATTTCCGTAACCCACATAAAAGGAGGGACCCTCGAGCAAGCATATCAGAGTATCCAAAAAGTAGAAAAACTTCTGTTGTCTCTCGATATTTGGCCTGTGTAATTGATGCAACAATCAGGACGTGATCTTTGTTGCATTTGATCCCCGAGCCGACGGCGCAAAGCGCCGTGCGAGGGTACTAATTTCCCCCGGCTATTTACACCCGGGGAAACGAAAGCATTAGCGAAGTCTAAAGTTCATCAAATATCGCGGGCGTGGCTCACCAACGAAGTTTCGGTGGGTGGTCATCCTCACTGATCTCAAAATATGTGGCGGACTGTCATGAATAGCGAAACTGATTGGTCCAATTTAAAGTTTGCATTATAACGACTGCATGACGACAGCTAAATAGCAAACATTTCTTGATTTGATGATTGATAAATTTCTTGCAAATATCACAAATATATTTCATTTTCGCTCGCATTTTCGCAAGATTTTGTAAATTTCAAGAAAGAAACAGCGAAAGAATTGGCTAAAAGAAGTGAGCCAACGTTAACGAAGGTAACTTTGTTTTAAATATTGATTTTATAATGGATTTAATTTAAAACCCGACGGCCTTTGCATATATGAAACAACTAAACAAGACAGCATATTATTTCAGTGTATCTTTAGTAATATTGATTCCCTTTTTTATGATATTGAATTTTTTAAATAAAAAAGAAAGCAGAGTTATTTGCAAGCGAAAATTCGAAGTCATTTTATTGCAAACTCAAAGTTTATCGATAAAGCCATTTTAAAAGTCAGTTTAGTTTTATAAAGAACACTAGTGACTTTAAAACGTTTTGCGAAGCGTTTGTGGTTGAATTTTACCTTAAATTGAGGCTTATATTACGTATAATAACATACCTAACATATATATGTTGGCAAATTAATAATTTTGTAATTAAAAGTGATATTTTTTAGGCGATTTTTCATTTGTAAGAATATTCTTAAAAAATTATCGTGTTACCATGACAACTACTTCAGATACTTCATGTTCGGAAAATACAATGGTTTTGTCTGTTTGTCAGCAAGGCGAGGGTTTCTGCATGCATGTATTTTCTAGTTAACTCGTAAATTCGTAGACGCTGCTTTTGATGGTGGAATAGATGTCGTGCTGGTGGATACAAAAATTGTACAAGCTGCATAAGACACTAAGAATTTAACCTAGTTGTTGGATAAATTAGCGCAGCTAAGGGGGAACAATTACCAATCTTGAAATGATTGGATAAAAAGCAGAATAGCTATCGAACGCAAATTAGAAGATCAAGCTAATCTGAGCTAAAGATATTATCCTAAAGAACAATCTATCCAAACACTATTAGTTGTTCCTTTATCTTCTCTTCTTGGGTTCTGTTATCCCCAAGTACTTTTGATGAAGGACAATAGACGCAACATACCGCTGTCGCGCAACTAGCAGGGCCGCCGAGAGCTTGGCGGGGGCCATAGATATCTTATATACACTCGATAGTGCATCTAATTATTCTGCAATTCAAAAATTGAAGCCTTGATTGCAGTCTCAGGTCGTTCCCATGAAATGAGAAGATTCGTATGTTTTCTATTTCTTAAACACGGAACTTAAACATTAAGTTAACCCTATTCGAAATACGTTTTTAAACTATTCAAATGATGAAAGTTATTGTTGTTTTTAAGCGTTTATTAGCAAGTGGGAACGACCAACATGGCCGCCATTTATTCAAATGGGGGTAACCGCTGGAATATTCTTGGCTTCAATTTTACTAAAAGAGATGCGCTATCTAGTGTATATAAGATATCTATGGCGGGGGCCTGGAGCAAATTTTTCTTAGGGAGCCCTATTCAAAAAAATTTTCATACCAAATTTCGGTTCTTTGCCCAAAAAAACACAAATATTTCGACCCAAAAACGGAAATATTTCGCGCAAAAAAATGAATCGGGCCCCTCCTCTCGGCGGCCCAGCGTGCACGTCCTTGCAGCTTAAATGCTGCTAATATGTAACTGCTTGTCAAAAATTTTCTGATTAGATTATTGATTAATGGATAAAAGTTTGTCGTGTAGTTAATGAACTCTCATACAGAGTAAACGTATAGAATACGATTACGGAAATCATGGACTTTTTTACTCAAATACAAAATTACCTTGGAAAACAGTAAATATTTTTATTGATAAGTTCTCATTTTCGACTAGGCTTGACTGCATGAGCCAGAGGGGCCGGAATATCGATAATTGGGGGGGGGGGCAGATATTCATATATTCGTGTTCTGTCCAATTGAAATTGATTGTTTTTACAGTCTGTGAACTCGAATATATGAATATCTGCCCCCCCCCCCAATTAATAATTATACCGTGAGCTCGAGTCGTATATGAGCTATCATGCAGCCATATACGACGAGAGCGAATGGTATAATAGTTTTATAATATAGTCTAATAGCCATTAACTGAAGCAATAATTAATTCTCCCCTGTTACAATGTCTTGAAAATTTGTTCGGCCAAAAACCGTTTGGCCTTGAAAATTTGAAATACTTTTGTTTTACAACTCGAAGACGAAGTGAAAGAAATGGTTTTAGAACGAGTATATATCACAGAAAAGCTCAGATATATTATACAGATGCTTGGTAGTATACTAAGTGCTTGTTGACTGCAAATTCATTTGTCTTTCGTTGGAAACTTTTCTGAACACTTGATATTCTCAATGAACATGTTTTTTTCGCTGTTGTTTCGGTATTAATTCTTTTAAAAAACTTGTATTTAAACTAGTTTCTATATGTAATAAATGTATTTTGCTAACCTGTCAAACTTTTTTGAGAGTTTTTCCTTGTAGCATTATCATTCTCAAAGCGAATATTTTCCTTTTTTCTGCTTCGCAAAATTCATGTAGTTTTTGGACCGCCATCTTGTTTTTCGCTACTCGCCGTATATGAGCTGATATACGGCGAGTAATTCAACTAATCAGATTGCAGAACAGCTCATATACGGTGAATGACTATATTATAATTATCGATATTCCGGCGCCTCTGGCATGAGCTCAGACGAAGCGTACCATATCTATCAATATATATGCAAGTTTTCCATTTTTAGAGTTACCGTTGTTTTGTATTGGCTGTAGAATGTGTTATTAACAATGGAGGATTTATATAAAACACCACGTAAATTATTATTCCAAAGCTTTCGGTCGGTAAGCCGGGATCTTCATCAGTGCCAATATTTCGCACATAAAGTTGTATACCTCCCATGGTTAGTACAGTCAAACAGAATCGCAACAAAGTGCCCCCCCCCCTGATCTGGTCCCCCTCTCCGGCGTAATATCCCTTTTCATATTATTGACTTTTTTGGATGTGAAAATAAATAAATAATTCGAAAAGTCAATATAATGGACAACATGTTAATTGTTTAAACAATAATTTCATTCGTAGAATTTCTGCTATTCATTTGCCTAATTCCATTAATTCTGCCCAATGCTTCTGACCAGCTGTTTCCCACGTTGAAGGAACTTTGTGTGAAAAATTAAACGTTTGAAAAATAGGAAACTTAGATATACAGAGAAGGAAAGGTAGCATATATATGACGGTATAGCTGCAAAAAATGCATATATATGCTGGTAGCTGCAGTGATACAGACTTGCCGACTGGTACTTCTCCAGGTCTCCCGCGAAATATGTCCCTCTCCAGTTACACATCCTTAAAAAAGGCCCTGAAACCAACGCAGATTTAATTTCGTTTTAGCAGAGTTCATTTCGTCTCATTTTTTGATTATTTTAATTATAAAATTGTGTGAAATATGGCTAAAGCCAAATATCAAATTTTGCATGTGTCTATTGGCAGTGATGCCTTAGAAGATCAGAAGCTGTTCGTGGTATAGGAAATGAAAATGTATTTACTTGTTTAAATTATGAATATCAAACGAAGCAACAACAATGCATAAAGCATGTTAAATTAATTAACTCTTGTAAAAATTTGTCTGTCGAGCTTTCAATTCCCGGAAAAAGTGAAAGAGATATAGAGCTTGATTTTGAGAGCTTGAAAGCTGGAGTTTTGAAGTTAATGTAGCGGCATCCCAGAATATTTAATGAGTGCGGTGCCTTGCCACTATACTTCCTCTTACCTGCACAAGTTGGTCCTTCAAATCCTTCTTGACACGTACATTCAAATGTATCAGTGCCCACATCCGTACACGTTCCGCCGTTTTCACAAGGGTTTGAAGCACACGCTTTTTGTCCTGGAACAACAAAACTAGCCTACTTAATTAAGAACTGTATGGATAAGATGATCACAACATTGGTCATCTGGATGTATCTAAGAGAACTGGCCGTTTAAAATGGATGTTCTAACCAAAAACAGTTAACTATGTGTATGATAATTGGTTAAAATAACCATAATAGTTGGCTAATTTTAATAACTTCCTGACAGCGAAAGTGAAGGCAGTATACGGATAAAATATCAAACTTCGATCTTGCTGTGTTGACCTCGCTATCGCTCGGTCAATAAATGCAGCAAGATCGAGGTTTGATATTTTTCCGTACTACCCGAACGGTCGAGGTCAGTAATTTTTTATTTTACGGGATTGTACGTTTGCATAAAAAATAAAAACATGGTCATGCGAGCACAAAGTACAAAGTCCGAAACATTTCCAAAATCTCAACTGAAAAATTTATGCTTAATTTTTTTTTTTTTGTTTTTAGTCCATTTCTTTTCATATTAATGTCTTTCTTTGACCAAGAAAAATTAACAGAATTTTCGAAAAGAATCTATAAATTTCGGGCTGCTTCAATTGTATTTTTGTTTCAGATGGTCCAAATTCCTTCTGGCCATCTGCAAATAAAATTTACTTAACCATTCTCCTTATTACGTTTTCGTAGCGCTTTGCATTGTGGCTATAGTGGTATCACAGATAAAGAAAGCGGCCTCGAATGAAAATATTGAATCTTTTCGCGAATATTTTGCTGTTGGCTATCGCACACCTGACCTAACTTTTTATAAAAGTCCTTGCACGGGACAGGACAAAAAATAAACCATCTTGAATATCAGTGATACCATTATAACCACAATGCAAAGCGCTATACGAAAACGTAATAAGGGGAATCGTCAATTTCAAACACAACATATTCGTAACTGTTTTTAATAATCAAAGTAAAAACATTGCAAAATTTACCTTGTATTTTTGGCTTACGAAATATTTTGAAAAACCTATTTAAAAAGTTATTTAAACTCAGCAGTCACCCCATTTCTAACTTTTAGGTTTATTTTTCTTTGTTTGGATATTTGAATAGACTTTTAGACAATTTTTTATTTGAAATTCGGTTCTTGTCGCATCTTCGTAAGGCAATAAATATAGTGTATTTCCCGTGGGTAATAGGGAGAAATGCTGACTCTTCAGCAGCCAATCAAATTGGGCGATTCAGCAAAACAAATGCTTGCCATATAATAAAACCAATTGCTTCATAGCTAGGGTGAACACCAAATGTGATTGGCTGATTTGTAGTCACGTGGATTTAGATTAATGCAATTTTAATGTATCCCGCCGGGCAATAATTGAAAAATTGTAGCTCGCCCTGACCATGACGTACATAAATAAACAAAATGGCGGCACAAGTTTTTCCTTCTATGAAAATGACGATTTTCAAAGTTTGTATTAAAATAAACAGTAAAACATAGGAGATAGATATGCAAAAGGCAACACGATATGCTGCTGTAACAATTTAAGTAGATTCTTTTAATTTTAAGCTTGTTTCACACGTACTATAGAGTTTTTGTTATGAAATATACAATTGCTCTATGAATGTTGTTGAATGTTGATTTTTGTTTCGTCGCTATACACCCTGTATCAGAAAACTGAACAGATTTGAAATTGCTCTCAATTTCGCAAAACATGCAGCTCGTGGTTTTTGTTATATATCGATTCCTTGAGCCCATGATATAGAATAATGGAAAAAAAATACTCGAACTCAAATTGAGTAAACCAGGGCCAGTGGGGTTTCTTTTCCAACAAACTAAAAATGGCTTGCGCATGAAACTTAAAAGCTTTAATCGTATTTTAAGTTAATGGATAAAAATTTGTTGGGTTTTTAAATACTGTAAAAAATTTCAGACAATTTGTTTTAATTAGTTTATGAAGCCCTTTCACTATTCGTTTGTTCCTAAAAATCAGCCTTTCGCATGCTTAATTAATGCCTTTACCTAATATGCATATTGCTGACATATGCAAATTAGGCAAATTCATAATTAGGCATGCAAAGGCTGATTTTTTAGGAAAATATATAGTTTGCGTGAATAATTAAAGGGCTTAAACTGAAGCAAATTGCCTGTGAAATTACGTGCAGCAATTAAACACCCAACACATTTTCACATGTTAACGATTAAATCTTTTAAATCTCGTTTTAAATCTCTTATTTGTAACTGATCTATTAAAAGATCTATTAAAAGATCTATTAAAAGATCTATTAAAAGATCTATTAAAAGATCTATTAAAAAATTTGTAACTGATCTATTAAAAGATTTGTTTGTAACTGATCTATTAAAAGATCTATTAAAAGATTAAAAGATTATTGAAGATTTTTAATAGATCAGTTACAAACTTTTACAAAAATATCATGTTATCCACTGATCGCCCTAACAGTATATATATATATATATATATATATATATATATATATATATATATATATATATATATATAACATATATATATATATATATAACATATATATATATATAACATATATATATATATATATATATATATATATATATATATATATATATATATATATATATATATATATATATATATATATATATATATATATACTTAAAGTAGCAATTTATTCAATTGAAAAATTGTATTAAAATATTAAATTATTATTAAATGCTCTACAATTGTCTTGTATTGAGTACTCTTTATTCTTAAAAACGGGAAATTACTTGATGAAATTATATATATATATATATATATATATATATATATATATATATATATATATATATATATATATATATATATATATATATATATATATATATAT